ATTATCTATTGAGATTATATGAGAATTAAATAAGATAATGCAACAGAATTCTTAACTTGGCTCCCAGTATGGTATGACCTCTTAATAAATATTAATTGTTATTATAATTATTATTATTATCATTAATATTATTATATATACATTAATGTATTATTACATAGTGGTGTGTTTTAAAATAGAGATGGAAGAGTGAATCAGGATCGGATTGTTAAACTAATATAATTTTTTCAGTAATACTAAACTGTAATTTTCAAACTCTAGCTACTGGAACACTAGGTTGTATTAGAGATACAAATTGGTATGGTATCAACAAAAATTTTATGAAATGAACATGAAAACAGATATCTACAGTGTCAGAAACACACTTTTCTTGAACAGCCATGTAAATGTGTTGAGAGCCACAGCCGAAGGGGCCACAGCCGAAGGGGCCCCAGCAAACTTCCAGCTGCCAGCAAACTTCCAGCTGCCTGCTGATGATTGGCTCACAGCGGCCCCAGAAACATCTAGCTGATTGGCTCCTCTGCGGTGATGCTCATTGGGCTGTTTCCCTGCCCTTTCAGACCACGGAGCTGCTCATTGGGGGACTTTTTTGGCTCCACCCACGTGACCCAGCCAATCGGCCTCAAGAGCAGGAGGATTGTGGGAGGTGGGGAGAGAGGCTTGTGGGAGAGAGAGGCTTGTTGGAGAGAGAGGCTTGTGGAAAGCCGGTGGTGGCAGTTGGGGCTTTGAGGGTTTTTCCTGAGAGGCTGTTTTGTTTGGCGTGTGTGGTTCTAAAAATAAAGTTAGTTTCTTTTGACAAGTGGCTCCTGATTGTGCCCAGCCAGACTGCGGCATTTGGTGGCTCGCACGGGGAGCAACTGAGGGTAAGTGATAAGGTAAACTGCTCTCCCCTGAGGGCAGGGCGAGAGGATGGGTAGCCATTTTAAGATTCTTCTTTTGTTTGGCTTCACTTTTCTTTTAAGTTGCCTGTCCCTGGAGATGAGTGAGACGGAAGAAAAACCGCTCACATCTGAGGAAAAACTATGTGCATCTGAGGAACAGATATGGAGAAAGGTTATAATGATTTTTTGTTGTTCCATTTTTATTTCATTCTATCTCGGTTTTGTTTGGTGTTATCTTGTTGGGTTGTATTATAGTAGAAATATGGGATCAGAAATTAGTAAAAAACAAACCGAAAGAGTGTTAAGTAAATTGTTAGAGGAAGGAGGCATCCCAGTAAAATCAAGAGCAGTCAGGGCATACGTTGATACAATACAAAAATGTAGCCCATGGCTTTTTAAGGAGGAGTTGTTAAATATATCACAATGGAACCATCATGGTGAAGATTTAAAAAGAATAGAAAAGAAAAGCCCAGGGATTCTGCCAGTTGGCACATTGCCATTGTGGATGTTCGTATCTTGTTTGCTTAGTCCAAAGCCTTCAGTTCAGACAATGGTAGAGGAAGGAGAAGACATATTGATTCAAGTAAAAGAGAAGGTCTCTCAAGTTAGTCAGACAGAGGAAATGATTCAAGTAAAAGAGAAGGTCTCTCGAGCTAGTCAGACAGAGGAAAAAATTCAAGTAAAAGAGAAGGTCTCTCAAACTAGTCAGACAGAGGAAAAAATTCAAGTAAAAGAGAAGGCCTCTCAAGCTAGTCAGACAGAGAAAGAAAGTGTAAAACAGAAAAAGCCATCAGGGGGAAAATTACAACAGGAGACTGCTACTAACACCTTTCTATCACCAGAGGGTGTAAGTGTCCAACCAACAGCACCACCTCTACAGGAGACTGCTACTAACACCTTTCTATCACCAGAGGACGTAAGTGTCCAACTAACAAGGCCACCTCCATATGCTGGGAGGCCCCCAACCCCCACAGTTGATAATTGGGATCCTGAGACAAGATCTCAAATATTAACATGCCCTGTATTTGAGGCAGGAGGGCAGCAAGTTTACCATGTTTTAAATTTCAAAACAGTGAAGCAGCTAAAAGAGGCTGTAACAACCTATGGTCCTCAAGCACCCTTCACTGTAAGCATGGTCGAATCCATTAACAACTTGAACATGACGCCAGCAGATTGGGTTAATATGTGTAAAGCTGTGCTAAATGGAGGACAATACCTGTTATGGAAGGTTGCCAATGAGGAATTTTGCAAGGAGACAGCTAGGCGAAATGCAGCAGCTGGTTATCCTCAGAGAAATCTAGATATGTTGTTAGGAAAGGGACCTTATGAGGATCAGCAGCAACAAATTGCATATGATCCTGGTGTATATGCACAAATTGCTGTAGATGCAATTAAGGCATGGAAGACTTTACAAGGACATGGAGGTTTACAAGGTCAATTATCTAAGGTAATACAAGGAGCTAATGAACCTTATGCTGAATTTGTAGATAGGCTTATTCAAACAGCTACCAGAGTTTTTGGGAATACAGAACAAACAATGCCATTACTAAAACACCTGGCTTATGAGCAAGCGAATCGTTGGTGCAGAGATATCATTAGACCATGGAAACATGAAGATTTAAACACATATATTAAATTATGTAGAGACATTAATGAACAAGGGCAAATTGTGGCAGCTGCAGTAAAACAGGCTTTAGATGCCAGGCCAAGAACATGCTACAATTGTGAACAAACAGGACATTTTAAAAGGAATTGCCCCATTGGAGGAGGGTTTAACAAAACTAGGTATCAAAGGAGTAGAATACCAGGTATTTGCCCATGATGCCGTAGAGGGAGACATTGGGCTAATGAATGCCGTTCTCAAACCACCATAGAGGGTACTCCATTATCAAAAAATGAACAAGGACCAGGTGTTTATCCACGATATCGTGGAGAAAGGCATCAGGCTCCGTTGCCAAAAAATGGACAGGGGGGCCCAATGCTCCGGGGCCCAAAACCACAAATATACGGAGCACTGGAGGAACCCAGCAACACCATCAGGGTAGTTCCCAGGACACATTGTCCATCAGATCCCTCATCAGACAAACCAGAGGGAGCGCAGGGTTGGACATCTGCGCCTCCGCCAGAGCAGTACTAACCCCAGAGATGGGAGTTCAAATCATTCCCACAGGGGTGAAAGGACCTCTTCCCAAAGGAACAGTAGGCTTATTATTAGGACGCAGCTCTTATACTCTAAAAGGACTTATGATAAGTCCTGGGGTAATTGATCCCGATTATGAAGGTGAAATAAAAATTATAGCCAGTTCTCCAAAGGGTATATCAGTAATTTCACCAGGAGATAGAATAGCACAGTTACTAATAATACCCAGCCTACATGATAAATTTTCCAGTCGTACTGTAGAAAGAGGTTCCAAGGGATTAGGCTCCACAGGTGTAGATTGGGCTATGCTTTCTTTAAATTTAGATTCTCGCCCCATGCTAAAACTAAATATTCAAGGACATGAATTTAATGGGATACTGGATACAGGTGCAGACCTTAGCATCATCTCTCGTCAAGAATGGCCAAAACATTGGCCATTACAACAAGCCACTCAAACGCTGCGAGGCCTAGGAGTGGCGACTAATCCCCATAGAAGTGCAATGGTATTAGATTGGAAGGATCCTGAAGGATGTGAAGGAACTATACAGCCATATGTATTGGATCATCTTCCCGTAAATTTATGGGGACGAGATGTCCTAGACGAATTAGGTTTGACATTAACAAATAACATCAACCAAAATGCACCCACTATTATGACTAGACAAGGTTTTAGGAAAGGAAAAAGATTAGAAACACACTTTTCTTGAACAGCCATGTAAATGAGTCGCAGAATGCTAGAATTTTGCATACTTATTTGACCATGGAACTTTTGTATAAAACATCCATTGATATCTCATATCTATTCTATATGACATTCTGTGGAGAATGAAGAATCCTCCAAAGTATTTGACAGAAAGAAGCTTGATATGCTGTACCTTTGACAATGCTTAATTTAGAGTCATTTTGTAATTTAGGTTAAATTATAAAAGACTAAAAACATTGAAAGCAATTAAGAAATTAATGTAATAAATGTAAAAGATTATAAAGGCCATAAATAATTGGTAGAGGCAGTGTTAAAAAGAAGACTAACAATACAAATAACCTAGTATTAACAAAACATTTCTTATATACTATAAGCTAAGGATATGTTAAGAGATATTTACAAACAGTTTTATTTCATTTAACCTTCTCAACAACACAATTAAGATGCCCTGTACTGTTATTTATTCTGGAGATGAAAACTTCAAAAACTTTCACAAGCTTTACACAGCCAAAATACAATGGGAACAAACTTGAATCCCAATGACTCCAAATACCACCCACATAACTATGTAGTGTTAATATCAAAAGCAGTACCAACCAATAATTTATTGAGCAGCAGGCCTGAGAGGAAGAGGTTGAAAAAACTCCAGGGTTCCCAGCTCAGAAAAGTTGATGGGGTCATCATAATCTAGTTCACAAGAAAAGGAACACAGGAAGAAAAGTTGGCTTCAGTGGGAGTTCTACATCCTGAAGGAGATAACCAGTTAATACATGGATTTATGTGTCTAAAACTAAAAAAAAAAAAAAAAAAAAAAAAATTCTACACTAGAGAAGGAGAGATGAAGGACTCATTAGTGTGGGTGGTGGATGAAGAAATGAATGTGCATGACCTTTAATAGAAAAGCATGAAAGGATGAGGGTCAAGACTGTGAACTCCAAGACAATATTAAAGTTTTGCTAACCTGGTCAGGAACTCTGTGCTATAATTCCTAATGCTGACACTGGTAAAAGAGAGAACTAAGAGTACCCTTCTTCCTCCTACTTGGTCTATTCCCTGTACATTACAGCAATAGTGTGAAAAGTCAGTACTGAAGATCGATAGCTGACTTGCTAAACTATTTCAGGAAGACCTGGTTTATTAATCACAGTTTTCGTAGACTAAGTCAGTTGATCATGTCAATGCATCATAGAGATTCATGTTCTGAGTTCAGGGAGATAATTGTATTACTCTCATTCATTTTTCAAACATTTATTATCTATGAGGTATTTTAATGTGTTAAGGATACAAATATGAACAACACACATGCTTCCAATTTCAAGGAGTTTACAGTCAATTAAGGATACAATAAGGAACAAGCCATCAGAATATATTGTACATATTTAGAGATTTGTATAATATGTACTAGACAGGCAAAGCTAAGAACCTGAGCTTGCCTGGAGAAATTAATTAGAAAAAACCTCATAGGGAAGGCAATTCTTAAATTAAGATTTGAAGAATGAGATGAAATTTTCCAGGTGGCTGAAGGGTATGCCCAGCTGTTTTTGAAAACACCTGCCATTGTATAAGTGGGTGGAAATCTACTTCCTTCTGTATGAAGAATCAATGCACATTTCGGGATTTTAAAAAATTGGAAATTTTTCAGATGTTAAATACAAAATTATTTTTATTAATTTGTTTAAAACCTACCTTAATGTAATGAATGTTCAGTTTCCTGTGCTTCTAGAGTATATCTAGTCTATTGAAGACACCAATTGTTCATATTAGAGGTACATATACTTAATGATCATTTTTTGGGTTATAGGGAGGAATGTATGAAGTTAAAGGGAGAAGGAGGCAAAAAGGAAGAGTTAGATGAGAAAAAAAGAAAAGTTGGGGGAGGAGTAGTATGTTAAGTAAAAGGATTAAAAAGTGGGAAGAAAAAAAAATACTCTAAGTCCAGGAAGTCTGTGTATTTCACACCTAGTTTCCTAGAAGGAGCTGGGCATGAAAATTCTTGGGGACTCATCAGCCTAAAGGGGAGGCACAGCACCAAGTCTTGATGCCAAAGAACCAGTGAATTACACTCGCCCTAATCTGCTTAGTCTTCACACCATAGACAATAGGGTTGAGCATTGGTGGCACCACTACATAAAGATTGGCCAGCAGTATATGGACATGTCGCGGAATGTTATGGCCAAAGCGGTGGGTCAGTAAGGTAAAGAATGATGGGACATAAAACATGAGGATGACACAAAGGTGAGACCCACAAGTGCTAAGGGCCTTGTGCCGAGCATCCTGGGAGGGCAAACGAAATACTGCTCGGAGGATCAGTGAGTAAGACACAGCAATGAGAATAACATCGAAGATGACCATGACAATGGGCACTGAGAAGCCATACCAGATGTTAACAGTAATGTCAGCACAGGCTAAGCGGGCCACTCCAATATGCTCACAGTATGAATGGGGGATGATATTGGTTTGACAGAAGGGTAGTCGCTTTAGCAAGAAGATCACTGGGAAGATGATGCAGAAGCTTCGGATGACAATGGCCACAGCAATCCTTCCTACAGCAGGCCATGTTAGCACCGTTGTATATCTCAGAGGGGCACATATGGCCACAAAGCGGTCAAAGGCCATGGCTAACAAGATGGCCGACTCCCCCACAAACATTGTGTGGACAAAGAAGACTTGGGTGACACAGGCATCAAAGGTAATGTCATGAGCATGCAGCCAAAAGATGGCTAGGGCCTTGGGTACAGTAGTGGTTGATAGCAGGATATCAGTGATGGCCAACATAGACAGGAAGAAATACATGGGCTCGTGAAGATTATGTTCTGTGATGATGACCATTATCAGCATTCTGTTTCCCAGGAGTGCAGTGATATACATGAGGCAAAGGGGTATTGACAACCAAATGTGATAAGCCTCCAACCCAGGGATGCCGAGTAAGACAAAAACTCCAGGATGGAAGATAGTAAAGTTGGTGTAAGTCATGATAAACATTATGGTTCTTTCTATAGTGGCTTTTGCATCTGCTGAAAGTGACCAAAACAGAAAGCATCCCTGAGTATGTGCAGAGATTAGAAGACATCATGATTTTCTCAACTGCTATACTCTTCAGCAAGTTCTCCTAGAGAATACTCACTGGCATAGGAATGACTTCTGGCCCTTGGTGCTTCATTTGCATATAGATCTTCCATGGCAAATTGTTTCAAGAAACAATAAAGGTTGCACTTTCCTCCCATCACCACATGCCCCATGATGTTGGCCCCATTCTATCTTTTTTGTCTTTCATCCATTTTTCCCTTTCCACATTATTAGTTGTCCCCAACCCATTTTATACTTGTACCTTTCCCCCAAGATTTTACTCTTTCTGTGTTTATCTGAATTTCCCTCCCCTTCTATGTCTTTACCCAAATTTTATGCTAAAATACCTCCTCTTAAGATATACCACTTTGTAAAATGTTCATAACAATATATCTCCATCCTGAAGACCTATTAGCTAAACTAAATTTTAACTTGATTATATTTAATCATATTAAGTTTATCTGGCTATTACCTTGAACATTTCATAGAACACTTGCACCTGTGGCTCCGTGTGCATGGAAATGGAGTACCAAGTGAAAATTCAGAAGAAACCTAAGACATATATTTATCTGTTCTGACTGAGATTCACATCTTCCCTAAAAGCAGCTAGCAATACCAGTGAAACCAAGAGGGCCAATTTTCATGATACTCCTTCTGAACATCTCATGGTCTTTCCCAGACAGTTCTATACAAGTGATTCTTGATCTCCTTTCCCATAGAAAACAAAGATTCCCAGGGAAACAATTCTGTATAAAGTCAATCAATACATTCTGCTGCCCCATCCTCTACTGGCTCCATTAACACAGCCTTCCTTCCCATGCACTTCTTCCCTAATGTCCAGAAAGAATCAGGTTTCCCTGCTACTAAAAAGTGTTAATTACAGAGCCCTTCTTGTCTTAGCCTTCCAACCAGGTAATAATTGTTTCCTTCAGAAGCTAACTACCTATCAGTTATTAAGACTACAGAAAGGATTAGTTATTAGACATCTAGAAGGAGACATGAAGAAAAAGAGCATAGAGAGAGTATGGAGAGAATCAGAATAAAGGTATCAAATAAATACTAGCTGGTTTCTATAATAAAGATATTCAGAGAGGCCCAGGGAAGAAGTTATGTGAAGGAATGAAAATCCTCAATCTGTAAGTCTATCCTCCTGCCTCTGCAAATATACTAAAACATAACTTGCTGTTGGGAGGAAACAATGGTACTTCACGTAGGTACAAGGAAAGGAGCAGTGCCAGAATACAATAAGTAAAGACCCCAGTAAAGCTAATAATTTGACATCCTCCAAGCCAATATATTTTAAAGCCAATATATTTTAAATATTTGTTTAACTTCTACTCACAGGATAGGCTGAGGTTTCCTGGGATATGCACAGAGAAGGATAAGTGGTAACATTGCTCTGCCTCTATTTTATTAAAGTGTTGGTCTCAAATTTATATAAGCAAAATTCCCACCAGAAAACAAATTCAGTTTCCTTAGAAGGAAATTTATTGGATATTTGCCTTCCCACTATCACTCCCAACCCTACTATTTACATATCCCTTCTCAATAAAATAGTAAGGTACCAGATATAGTCCTCATAAGAACAATTTCTGCCTTCTGCTTACAATTCATATATCCTATTGCCCCAGCAGTGAGAGACACTATATACCCAAGGCAGCATGTGAGAGGGGCAGTGAGTCCTGGATACCATTAATGAAGTTATGAAAAGAAGCCTACTACCTATGGAAAGAATATTCATTTTATTCAGCGGCTTCTGAGGGCTCCATCTCAGCCATGCTGCTTCTCTACCTACACCTTGAAAGGGTTCTTGTTTGAGAAAAAAAGGAACCATGCAGGCATAAATAGTCACATCCAAAGGTTTACAGAAAGTATCTGCCAAAGCTCTAAGAGAAATTCCAATAGAGTGAGGAAAACAAAGGAGCCAGAATGGTAGAGAAGAGGCCAGGAGCCATATTAAATGGGAGAGAACACAGCACAGTAGGTGAGAACATTAAGTTCTAGAACCAGGCTTACCCAGTTCATTTTCCAGTTCATTCCTGACTAGTTAGATGATCTTGGGCAAGTCACTTTATTTCTGTATGCCTCCCTTTTTTTTCAAATTCATTTACAAAATGTGGACAATAATAAACTTCATGAGGTAATTGTGAGGATTAAATGATTCAATATATATATAAGGTCAGAAAAATGGTTATTATTGTTTATTGTTATTATTAAATTGGCCATCATCTTATTGTATTTTTTCTGGTAGGCAAAACACCTTAATAACTATTTAGCCACATTAAAGTCCTATTTTTCACGCAAATATGATCAAAGAAAACTCCTTTCCCAGGAGGAAAGAAGAATAAAGGGAATAGAAAAAGTATCCACAGAGAAAAAAGGAGCCCAATCCCAGATCTCTCAGATGGAACTGGTGTCTTGTACTCAGACCCACGGGCTTTGTAGGGAGCACTAGGCAAGTCCACCAGTGATGATCTTAGCTTGGCTCAGAACTACCTAATGGATTTCCTTCAAATGCTCTAAAAAGCACCCATCTGTCTCAGAAGAAGAAAAGAGAAACTATTTCTATCATTTATAGAAGTCCAAGGGACATCACGAAGTGACAGGAATAGCTTCAGCTCTACAACCAAGTAACTAGAGTGCAAACTACCAGATTCAGTCTAGGCTAAGGAACAATGGAGCCACTTCCTGCAGCCTCTGACTAGACTCTGCTGTCCCTTTTTCTTCCCAGTGTCTTCTTTTCTCCCTTTAAGTACCTACCCAGCTCTATTTTTTGGTATTACTCATTTTCTCTTTAGGGAGCTATATAAAGGCTTTTAAAGTCCTCACTCAATCCCAATTTAGAAGACTGTCTATTAAAATTCTCTATTAAGAATAACAACATATTTAAATGTACCTATCTACAGACCACATCAGATATAATTGTTAGTAACTATAAAGGAGTTGAGTTACTTTTTTGCCTATTTTTATTACCTAGTCATCTGTTTATAGAAGTATTAATTTCACTTTGCAATTTCCTTGCATAGGTATTTCAGATCTCAAGAATTTTTCACCACTCAAGTTCTTTACAATGCACAGTCTCTACACTGAAGGCATATACCTAATGGACAAAACAGCTACCTACCCACCTCTGGGCATAAGGATAGTCTCTGTCTGTGGTGCAATAAATGGAAGGATTTGTTTTTATGTCACAAGAAATTTGTTTCCTTTTATTAAACATTTTCAGTAATATACATTAATTGTACATATTAATGGGGTTCAGTGTTACATACATTTATATACATCACATAATGTGATATTAAAATTTATAAATTGCTTACCTTTTAATATATGAAGAAAATTTATATTTATACTTTAATGACCTCCCTCTTGCTCACAGGCACTTAAAAACATCATATAAGATGCTTTCATAATAAAGCAAATGCTTTCGATTTGCTTTAATCTTTTCTATGTTGAAGAGGCACTAAGATTCCCTTACTCCATTGTCATCCCTTTAATAGTGACTCAGGTCTTTTTAATTATTTATTTTTAATTAGCAAATAAAGATTTTATATATTTAAGGTGTATAATATATGTTGATACATGTATAGTACACTGTATGTGGTATGGCTAAATAAAGCTAACTAACGTGTATTGCTTCAGACACTTATTTTGTGGTGAGAACACCTAAAATCTACTCACAGAAATTTTAAGTATAGAATATATTGATGTACAATGGATCTCTTGAATTTATTTCTGCTGCCTAAATGAAATACTGCATGTTTTAACCAACATCTCTCCAAACACCTACCTGATCCCAGGCTCCAGTAACCACCATGACTCATGTTTTTAATGAACAAATGCCTCAAGAAAAATGCCCACCTACCCTTTTTTTTTTACTCCCAATAAACATTTTAGGGATTTTTTCCAACTTGAGAAATCATATGGTAGTGTGTCATATGTAAACATCATATACTATAATCCATGCACAACCTCTTCCTCACCCAATGTCTGTATTTCTTCTGCAAAATGAAGGACAGAAAACAGAATGAGGAAGATCTTTCAGGTTTAGAAACGCCTTACCCCAGATTACCAAGAAAAATTTTTTCAAGAGTGCTCCTCACTTTGTGACTAAAAATTTCCTAGCACTAAGCAGAGCCTGGCACATTATAGATATTTTAAAAAATATTTGATCAAATAATCCATGGAATAAGTGAGTTAATCTTTCTCTGGGAGCTTTCATTGCTTCACCAAATACAAGATAGTGATCAAATTCTGAACCATTTTATGAATAGTTCCCACTGATATTCCCCTTCCTTGGTACAGTGTGATTCTGATGGGTCTATAAACTTCCCTCAAACCTGCAAACAAGAAGTCTTTTCCTCCACTTCTTCAGGTGCTTTTCCCAGCACCTCTCTACATTCTCATTTCTATTTCTACCAGTGTCTACCTAGTTCCACTGGTGTCTCTCCCAATACCCACACTCCTCACCCCATGGCATGTTATGCTATAATCCTTCTCTCATCCTTTGACCCCTTTCCCCCCATATCCATTTCCTCTGTCCCAGGCTCAGGCTTTTTCCTTTACATATGCTATTAAATACACACACACACACAAACACACCCCCTTTCTCTCTCCTCTCTCACCAATCTCTTCTGCCACTACAATGCTCTGAAACTTACCTACTACATCACAGTATCAGCTGATAGACTGTGAAAGTGGTAAAGAAGAGCTAAAAAAATATTTGCTTACTCTGAGAGAGTAGTAATGATATGAAAAGAGAAGGTTGGTGACTAATTATGTTGGCATGAGGGGGGTTCTCACTGCTCCTTCCTGTACAGAACCCTTATATCTAGAGACTGAGAAGCCATCAGCTTCCTTCCTCTGGAGACAAGTGTTTGGTACCCCTGGGATTATTGAGCATATAGTCAGTGAACCATGTGAGAAATAAAA